TGTCTGCCTTTAGAAAAAGACTGTCCATGGATTCTCTAGTAGCAGTACTTAACACTCCAAAATTGAAAGGTGGTTGTGCTAGTTCACAAGATGTCCAGCTGTTGTAGACATATACAAGGGGATAGCTCAGTGGTTTGAGCATTGGCCTGCTAAGCCCAGGGTTGTGAGTTCAATCCTTGAGGGGGCCATTTAGGAATCTGGGGCAAAAATCTGTCTGGGGATTGGTCCTGCTTTGAGCAGGGGGTTGGACTAGCTGACCTCTTGAGGTCCCTTCCAATCCTGATATTCTATGATTCCATGAAAATCCCACTAGTTGTCTGTCTGTCTCTCTCTCTCTCTGGATCTGAGTTGCATCTGGAGTTGATATTTGTGTCTTGAGTTGTTGCAGCCCCCATTCCTATTTTATAATGTTTACAAGAAACTGAGCCTGACATTGAAAAGAGCTCAGAGCTCCCGTTAAGACATGAAAATAAATGGCCAAATTTTCAAAAGAGCTCAGCACATTGGGTAGACACTGGGTGTGGAGCTGATTTGAAACCTGGAGCAGTTGCACTTTAGCCGAGGGACCTTAGTGGGTGGTCTTGTACATGTGATTTCACAAAGTTATTAACTTAATAAATTACCCACTCTTAGGTATGTACAGGATGCCCATTACCATGGTATCACAGCGCAACCAACTACACTTTATGGCATTTTTTTTCCTCTTCCCCTTTGTTCTTTTAAAGTATGAGTACAGATTTGTTTCCTCTTAATACTCTAGCATACGTTTCTATAACCTAGTTTTGTAATATAATAGCAAAGCATATCTTAAATAGGTTTTGCCTGTAATAACAGATGCCAGATAGGCTTCCATAAAACTTCTACAGTGACTTGTTTTAAAATCAAACTACATTGAGTCTGCTAATTTTGTGGTTCTTTACATTCTGGATTAAAATGAGATGTTGAAAACATGTAATCCCCAAGCTTTCTGAGGTTCTGAACTAGGGTTCACGAAATGAAATTAATAGGCAGCAGGTTTAAAAGAAATAAAAGGAAGTATTTCTTCACACAATGCACAGTCAACCTGTGGAACTCCTTGCCAGAGGATGTTGTGAAGGCCAAGACCATAACAGGGTTCAAAAAAGAACTAGAGAAATTCATATAGGATAAGGTCCATCAATGGGAATTAGCCAGGATGGGCAGGAATGGTGTCCCTAGCCTCTGTTTGCCAGAAGCTGGGAATGAGCAACAGGGGATGGATCACTTGATGATTACCTGTTCTGTTCATTCCCTCTGGAGCACCTGGCACTGGCCACTGTCAGAAGACAGGATCCTGGGCTAGATGGACCTTTGGTCTGACCCAGTAGGGCCGTTCTTATGTTTTCAGGCAGGTAACACTAGAGCAGTGATCTCTTTCAGGGAGTTAATATATTCACTCTCTTCTGAGCCTTATCTTGCAAGGAGCTGAGAGCGCCTTTAACTCTGTGGTGCTTGATACTCTGCAGAATTGAGCTCTCAGACTGCAGCACATGCCAACGCTGAGGTGGGGGTGAGCAGCAGGCTGCTTCCCAGCTAGCTAACATGGCCTCAGCCAAATGATAATCTGACAGAACAACAGATGTTACACATGACTATAGGCTTCAGCAGAAAGCGTAGTTAAGGTGAGTGTAGGATTGTAACCACATACGGTCACCACCTGGACACACTGAGGTCTGGTCTACAAACTTACATTGGTATAACTACATTGCTCAGGGGTGTGAAAAAATCCACACTGCTGAGCAACCTAGTTATACCATCCTAACCCTCAGTGTAGACAGCACTATGTTGACGAGAGGGCTTCTCCATTGACATAGCTACTGCCTATCGTAGAGGTGGATAACTATGTGGACAGGAGAAGCTCTCCCGTCGGTGTAGTAGCGTCTTCACTGAAGTACTACAGAGGTGCAGGTTCACCAGTACAGAGCTGTAACCCTAATGAAATCACCATGCTTTTGAATAACCCTGGGGGAGGGATTGTTTCTAGAGCAGTTTAGTTGCAGTTAAAGTAAAGCAAGTTAAAGAATAAGGCCTGACCTAAACTAGAAAACGATGTCGTTCAGGGATGTTAAGCCAACCAAGTCCCTGTGTAGACAGCGCTAGGTTGACACAAACATTCTTCCATTCACCGACCTGCTGCCTCTCAGGGAGGTGAATTACCTACACTGAGTGGAGAACTCCTCCCATCAGCATAAGGAGTTTCTACACTTGAAGCGCTACAGCGCTGTAGCATTTCAAGTGTAGACAAGCCCTAAGTATCTTTCCCCCCCCCCCCCTTCTCTCCAGGAAAGGCCAGACTTTCGCATGTGAAAGTAGTTCTTCCGAGGCTCTGTCTTTGTGTTAGAACTTCCTTGTGTATAGAATTAGGCCTGGTCTACACTAGAAAATTAGGTTGGTTTGACTACATTGGTGAGGGGTGTGGATTCCACACCCCTGAGTGGCGTTGTTAAGACAACTTCAGTCCTTTTGTAGATATCGCTAGGTTGACCGAAGAATTCTTACATCAACCTAGCAACCACCTCTCAGGGAGGTGGATTACTTACACTGTAGCTGTGCCGCTGTAACCTTTTTAAGTGTAGTAGAAAAGCCCTTAGTGTGTTAAAACATGTACAATGAGCTATGTCAATGGGGCATAACACCATTAAAAATGCTTTTAACGTGTTATTCTACTTTGAAAACAGACTGTGTAGAAATGAGTCTTTTTGTGTGTCTGGCACATGAGCTGATATGCTCAGTTTTACAAGTAAAAAGGCTCAGCAAACTCCCGTTGAGATCTGAGAAGAAAATTAGGTTCATTGTGGATCATGCATCACCATCAGTAAAAGATTCTGCATTTGTAGTTAGCAATTCTGTTGATGCAGCAACCAGGTTAGGATTCCTGTTCATGCTCCCAGGTTCACTGAAATAGTGCAATTAAATTGGGTCTGTTGGTGATTGGCTTGTTTCAGGCTCTGTCCATTTGCTTTTTCTGCCCTCAGGCAGCCTATACATCCACTCCTGAGCCAGAAGTACGGTATACTAGTGCTTCATAGGACTAAATGCATAACTGTTTAATGAACATTAGCTGTGTGGCCTAAACTGACACAATCCAGGAAATTCCAAGTTAAGAACTGGGAGTCTGCTTTAGCTTGGAATTTCCTGGTTTCACATGCTGCCTGTTCGGGGGACGTGGGGGTGGCTTGTTGAATTCCTCTTTTAAAGAAACAACAACTGAGGTTATAAAAATATGTATTTATCTCAGAGCTTGGAAAGGTTCCCAGTTTGGTAAGCCTGTGAACTAAGAAATACTGTTGAAAAGTCAACATTTTAAACTGGGACCCTTTTTCTAATTAGTTATGCCACATGCATCAATGACTGTTCTGTATATGTACAATGGCCGAGTTTTATATTACAGGGGATCTGTAATTTAAAAATAAAATAAAACTTAATACCCAATGCAGTTGGACCACACAAGGTTTATGCACTAATAATTTGTTAGACTTGTTAAACTGGAAGCAGAGTAAGTTATAGGAGCACAAATCTGCTATAACAACTTTTTTCACTCTTGTATCTCAAATGGTGTAATTGATTCCTCTGCCTTTATTAATTTTTGTCTAAAACTTCACTCTGGGACCGAAACCTCATAACCCCACGTTTCAGTCTGGAATGGTTTTAATTGCCAAGTTATAAATTCCTGGAAAAATGCCATTTTATATCTAACATTGACAGAACTTTAACTAACTATTATCCCATGAATACCTGTCTTTAATGGCTACAGCTCAATAGTGTCACAGTAGTAAAGTGATAGTCAAGGTTGAAAGAGCCCGTTTTTATTTCTCAATCACTTGAATTCTAGTTTGGGGCTGAACTTTTCCTTGTTTCTGACCCACGTATGTTTTGGAAAGTGATGATCTCTGTTCAGCTCTTTTAATAATACTTGCATAGCAGTTTTCATTTAAAGATCTCAAACACTGATTAATTTAACTTCACTTGGGAGATAGCTAAGTATTATCCCTGGTTTGCAGAGAGGAGAAACTGAGGCTCACAGTTTAAGGTCCTGTCTGTGTTACCCCAGTCCAATTGTTTCCCTTACATGAGGATGCAACCTAGTTAAATTGCATCTGGATCTTTCAATATAGTGGTCTAGTCTTTTAACATAGTCATGATTTCAAACTCTCTGAGCCTCGTTTTCTCTCCTCTGTAAAACAGGGATAATATTTGCCTTCCGAGGAAGATAAGGCGATTATATCCATTGGTATCTGTAAAGGCGATGGTTGTAGCATTGGTTCAAGAACAGTCAAGCCCTCTCTACATGGAGGAAACTGTTTAAAAAAAAAAAAAAAAATCCCACCATTGCGAACATTCAGCTCCACTGCTGCTGGAAGCCCTAATGTAGACAGACCACTGGCATTTAACACCATATGATAACGCTTTCTCATCCGTGCTATGGCTTCCAACATTGCTAACCCTTGTGGTGCTGGACTGGTGTTCAGAATTTCTATAAAAATGTCCCTCGCATAGGTAGGGCCCCATTGTTGTAACTGGGTCCCCAGATGTGGTTGTACTTGTAGTTCTAGATGGGGGCATTCCTGCTGGGTAAATCCACAGAATATATTTATTTACTGAACTCTGCATCCAGCCCAGGGTAGACAGGTCTTCCGCAGATTAAAATGGATCAGTTTAGCTATGATCAACAGCTCAACTGGAAATACCAACTCGCTTCAAGAATCTTGCAATTCTGGACAAAGTCACTTTGTCAAGTCCTTAAATGACAGGCCCATAGTCTTGTTCACGCTCATTCTTCCCCTTCTGTTTATAGTGGCCTTTTAAACCCTGATCCTGCAGTGAGCTCTGCCCATGGATCTCTCTGCAGGATCGGCGCTTTAGTGACAAGAGTTGGAGAAACCTTAGAGGGTCCCAAATGGGTGGGTGATACCTTGGCTGGGAGCAGTGCTGAAGCCTGCATCAGTGCCAACAATTAACAACATTTCACTTCCGATTTGCAGGAATTGGGTGGCCTTGGTGCATTAGGTGGAACTTCCTGCGCTATGGGAAAGAAAACCAAGAGGACAGCAGATAGTTCGTCCTCTGAAGATGAGGAGGAGTATGTTGTGGAGAAGGTGCTAGACAGGCGTGTTGTGAAGGGTCAAGTGGAGTATCTTCTCAAGTGGAAAGGATTCTCTGAGTAAGTCCAACTTTCCTTCTGACTTGGGCTATCTTCTTTAGCAGCGCTCCAGGCAGTGCTTCAAATTTGACCTTCGCTGCCCTCATTCAAGCTTTCCTAAACACCTTCATGGGTGGAGCTTGCCTTCTTCACTCCAGATAAGAGTGGCGTGCATCCATTTAAATGAGTGGGTCACGAGGAGAGGGCCTGGGATCGTAAGTGGGTTGTGAAACACTGGCAAAAGTTACTTTCCCTTTGGCGTCTGCGTTCCCTCTCTCACTTCATGGAGTTGGTAGTTCCACTTGAGTTGTTCACCAGCACTCTCGTCTATAGTCTTCCTCCTCACTTGAGCACCAGTGACTGACTCGCGGGTGAAGGTGCACCTGAGCAATTATTGTCTAGACTTATTGTGGAGATGCTATTAACTGCAGCTTGGGTAAATGGCTCTTTAGAAGAGGGATACTTCAAGTGCCTTTAAAAAAAAAAATCTCCCCCTTAACTTCCTCTTAATCTGCCCCAATGGGGAAACTTTTTGCAGGTTGTGTGTCCTCTGTGTTTGTCATGGCTTTTGGCCAGACCCTTGGGGAATCTAGTAGTCAACCATGAAGCACAGCCAGGACTGAAAATATGCAAGGTTTATATCTTGGCATGGGATGTTTAAATGGATGCACACTGCTTTATACTGGGGGTGGGGGGGAGCAGGACATTTAACACAGATGATCAGAAAGGAAAGTCCTGGGGGGAGGGATTGGGAAGTATGTATTTGCAAAGAAAATCTGGTAGAACCTTGTTTAGTCAAACCTGGTTTATCCATATGTCTTCATTCAAGATAATGACCACCATTACCACTGCAGGGAAGAGCTCTGCAGACTTCCAGTTGATTCTAGAATAATCAAATGCATTCTCTGTCTCCTGTTAGTCTGAGATTATGCTTCATTTTGAAACCTTCACCTTATGAGTCACTTAGCAACATGGCAATCTGTGTTCATGAAGTGCAAGGATGTCTAAAGTATTGATACTGCAGGTGTCTGGGCTCCCAAAGGAAATGGGGAACCCAGCTTAAAACCTTTGCTAACAACTAACTTTCTTTGCCTTAGAGTAGGTCAATGTCTATGATCTTTGTAAGACAGCATTAAAACTTCTCCGCCTCTGTTTTGATTGTTGTTGCCCATCTTTTCCATGGCAGGGAACACAACACTTGGGAACCTGAGAAGAATCTGGACTGCCCCGAGCTGATTTCTGAGTTTATGAAAAAATATAAAAAAATGAAGGAGGGTGAGAACAACAAATCAAGAGAGAAATCCGAAAGCACAAAGAGGAAATCCAGCCTCTCCAACAGTGCCGAGGACATCAAAACCAAAAAGAAGAGGGAGGTGAGCTTGCAGGATTTTCCTTCACCCCATTCTGCCACAAGCTTCTAGCCCTGTTCTGCACAGAATATATTGATCTGTGCTGGTGGAAACCATCTCCTACCTGCAACCTCCTAAAAATTACATGAGAGAATTTTAAAAACGAAAGAGTCAAGAGGGTGTATTATGTTAGGCAAACTGGCATAGAGCAACACCTCAGTTTGGCTGTGCTTCAGTCTGCCAGCTTTGTACCACTTTCAGGAAAGCTGCACTAGAATAGGATGAACTAAATGCTGCCTCTGACTCCAAAAAATGGAATCACTAAAAATAATTAGGGTCTTAAATATAATAAAGATTAATAAACAAGGAGCAAACTGCAGTGTAAGCTAGGACACAAGAAATACAGTTTATTGTTTGACTGAAGAAAGAGACTTTAAATGCTGATTTAAGCTTGACATAAACTAAGTGTTTTAAAGTAGAACTTGCCTTAAAACAATACGTGCCTAAAGCAAGAGGCTTTCCTGTATGTCCCAGTCTGCAGCAATTATTTGGGGCTCTAGAGAAGATGCATCAGTAAAATGCCTGCTCTCGCTGCTCATAAATGTTTCTCAAGCATTCATTCACTGCCATATCTAGGAGCAGATTTTAGGGAAAAGTTAATCTTGGGTTTTTTTTTACATTTCTATCTGTTTGTTGTAGTGTCAATTTAAAATTTGTATTTATTTATTGTACTATGTGCAGTGACTATGGCCTGGTCTACACTGGGGGGGGGATCGATCTGAAGTCGACATACTTAGATCTACTTACTGCAGTGTCTTCACTGCGGTAAGTCGACGGCTAATGCTCTCCCATTGACTCCGCCTGCGCCTCTCAACCTGGTGGAGTCGACGGGAGAGCGCTTAGCGGTCAATTTATCGCATCTAGACTAGACGTGATAATTGACACACACCCCCACCCCCGCTGGATCGATCGCTGCCCGTCGATCCAGCGGGTAATGTAGACAAGCCCTAAGAGGCTACATTAACTATCTTGAGTCCAAATAAATTTGAATATCTAGAAGGTCTGGCATAGTTAGGATTCCCAGCAACTTCTGTGCAAGGTAGGACCCATCTCCTCTGCCCTTCCCTTGCTTTCGTTATTGATTGCTGTCTCCCACTGGAATGCTGCTGGGCACTTCTGTTCTTCTCTTTCGAGAATTGTTGCAGCATCTCCTGAAAGATGCATCTCTTTGTGCAGTTGGCAAGACATTGTCTCCTCCTGACACCCACAGCTGGGTGTTGTACAGATCTCCACTGTGACAGCTCTGGCTCCTGAGCGTTTGGCCATGGACTCTGTCATCTGTACCAGCCAATAACTGCCATGACACGTCACTGAGGGAAATACATTTTCCAAGATGGGTCTAGCTAGTAAGGGCTTCAAAGGTCAGAGGTGAAATCCTGACCTCCTTGCAATCAGTGGCAAAACTCCCATTGATTTCAATGTGGCCAGATATCACTCCCAAACTTTGTACCTTTAAAGTAGACCTGGGAAACCAGAGTAAGTTTTATGGAGGTCATGGGCTTAGTCTTGTTGAGGCAAAGCGCTATTCATAGCTGTGACGATTACAAAAGACTGACAGGCCTTTTTAATCTGTTATCAAATATTTAGAAGAAACCCAGCCATTTAATTTTCAAACTCTGGAGGCCAGAACTACAGTATAGGCTGTTGGACAGTAATGCCCAGGGAAACTGGGGAAGGTCAAGCAGCTATAGAGAGAGTATCATGTAGCCCTACTTATCCAGACTGCAGAGGTGGTGGGGTGGACCTTTCATGGTCAAGAGAGGAAAGGAAATCAAGGAATACAACAGAGCTGCAGAAACATGGTGCTTTCTCTTAGAACAGGAGCTCTGTGTTTCAAAGTACTGCACTGACTTTTAACCACCATTAAAAGCCAATGGGGCATTGAAAGTAAATCCCCAGACATGGCTTTGAAAATGTAGGAAATCCAGACAGGATGCTGGAGGTAATGATGCCTGTTGGTTAAATTACTGGCACTGCAAGCACCTTGATACTCAATTATGATGAGGGCAAGGGGGCCTTGTTGGCTGAAGTATAAAATAAAAATGTTGACTCCCTTTAAAAAAATAAAATAAGTTTCCCAGATGTGCGGAATTCACTGTCCAATGCACAAAGCGTGAGAAGATGGGTTATTAAAGCTCATCTTTGTGGAAGAGACTAATATATGGAATGTTATATAAATGAGGAACCATTGAGCAACATTTTATGTCTCAGATTTTCCTTTCCTGAAGAAAATCTCCTGCAGATCTGTCTTCTCATTGCTTTTTTTACAACCTTATTTGAAAAAATGCCCTGCCCTTTACAGCTGTGTCTGTAGAAAGTTATGGCTAAGTCATTGGAGATTCAAACCCGCATTGCTACTGTCTGCTGGTAATGAAATCATAAGGGGTAATAAGGTCATATATTTCATATCCAGAAGGTTACCTTTAGTGTGTAGGGATTACAGTTTTATAACCCATTATGTATCCTATTTAAAGTTTGGAACTAAAGCTTTCCACCAGTAAAATGAGCAGTTTGATTTCTGCAGCTTAGCTGAAGCATCTTGTCTTCTGATTCCAATGTTCTAGCTTGGCAAAGTTTCCCATAGAGATGATGCAAATATCAGCACATACTGGAATGGGTCTTAAAAATCCATGCCATGCTTGCACCCACCAGTACTTTTCATGGCAATTGCCATGTATCTGAAACTGGAGTCTCCCCTGCTGTGTTACATCAGCCTTGATAGTCCATGATCGAGCATTAAAAGGCTGGAGACTTGCATACATCTTCTGGGGGCAAAAAAGAAATAGCAGATATTTCTTAATCATTGTTACAAGGGACATTGTTTTGAAATCTATATAATTTAAAAAAAGAATGGAAAGTAGTTTGAGATAATGCACCTTGCCCCAAGTCCCCTGCCAATTTCTGTGGTTTATTCACACTTTCTAAAAAATGTTTTTCCTCTCCTTTCTTGTGTAAAAGACAAAAGGGAAAGCTGGGTAATTGTAGGAGAAACTGATGATACACAAAGTGTTGTGAAATGCACAAAATATACTCTTGGGAAATTTTTTCCCCTCTAATCTTTCAGCGATGGTAATCCGTTATTGCATGTAATAATACTAGGGCCACTATTTCAAACAGAAATATGATTTGTTTTTAAGCTGTGCCCCTTAGACCATGTGATCTCTTGTGTGGCACCTGCAGTAAAACATCCTTGAGGTACACATCTTTGTTTACCCCCAAAATGCTCTTCTTCCCTCCACATCTCAGCTAGATCTAGTAGCTGAGCTGTCATTGATAAGACTTCCCTGTTTTAACCAAATGTGCCACAGAATGTTTAGGGATAGATTTTTAGAAAGCACTGAGCACCGCTGAGTGGGGTCAAACATATAGTTTTGAATGTGTTCAGCTCCTGTTTAGGCACCTAAATGAAGTGGAAAGACTTTCAAAAGCATCCAGCCGCAATTGTTCTCAAAGGCAGTTGTTTGGGTGCTGATTAGCCCCAACACTGTAGTATTGCAGCTGAAGATAGTGATAAGTTCCATCCACAAAGTTCTCATCCAGACCCAAACTCTTGTAAAGTTGCATAGTGTTTAGGTCTGTACTTTTGGTATAGACCAGGGATCAGCAACCTTTGGCACACGGCACGGGCTGAGGGATGTGGTGGCCGCCACTTCCTGCCACCCCCATTGGCCTGGATCGGCCGAAACTGCGGACGCGGCAGGTAAACAAACCGGCCCGGCCCGCCAGGGTGCTTACCCTGGCGGGCCGTGTGCCAAAGGCTGCCGATCCCTGGTTTAGACCTATCTCTAATATAAAAGCTAAATACCTGTTGTCTCCAAATTGCAGTGCAAATTGTGATGCAGTAGCTTAGATTTTTTTTGTATTTTATTGGTTTACTGATTCATGAAATTGGTGCATTCCCAGTGGGTCTCCCAGTCACTAGTGAAGTAGCCAGTTTTTGCTTGGGTCTGTATTCTCTCATTACCCTCTGAACGTTTTTTCATTTGACAAATGTTTTTAGTGCATCCAAAGCCAAGCTGGCTGCCTCTTTGTTTGCCTCTTGATCTGCATAGCAGCATCTGTTGTACAGCATGGCAAGCAGCAAACATGCATATCTGAGAATACCGTGTGCTGCTGCAATGAAATAGAGAAACCTCGCCCCAGACATTATGGCCTGTGGTGACTGAAAGCTGTCAGGCCACCTAACAGCCATCAGATGGTATGTGCAAGGAGCTGCGTCACCCCCGCCTCGCTCACAAGCCCCATCTCAAACTGTCAGTAAAAATGCACCAATTGTCCCATTGTTGGCAGCCTCAGCCCAGAGACCTCATGGACAGACTCAGACTCTCCTCTTCCTTTGGAGTTGGTGGTAGGCTCGAGAAGCTAGCATCACTGCAGCCAGAACTATACCTCTTTTGGGGAGAGCAGACTTTGATCTCTGCGGATGTCTGTTATCAATCCAGGACTTCTCACCAGCTGTAAATTTAAACTGACTTCACTAAAGTAGTGGCTTGTCTTTATGGATTTCCTTGTTTTCCCCTCTCTCCATGTTCATTATTATTGACTCTATTGACTCATGAATTGTAGATTCCAAATAACCACGTGGAGAAGTTAAGGAGTCTAGCCATCTGTTTATAACCCCACCATATTTCTACATGTCAGAGGGTTGCCGGTGCCCTTTTAAGCCTGCTTCGTTCTAAATTGTCAGGATGTAAAGAAACGGCCAAAGATAATATAAATCGTTATAATTTTTTTTTCCAACCTATTCTATCCTTGCCAGAGCAACGATATTGCCAGGGGCTTTGAAAGAGGATTAGAGCCAGAAAAGATCATCGGTGCCACAGACTCCTGTGGAGATTTAATGTTCTTAATGAAATGGTAAGTCTGGGGTGTCATCCCCCTCTTCCCCCCCTCCCCCTTTTCAAATTAGTAGCTTGGGTGGTTTTCTGGTCTGTGCTCTCTTCTAACACACCCAGGGAAGGAATGGTCCCAAGTGAGCCACTGTAGTAAACAGGACTAGGGCAGCTAGGCAGCTCCACTTCCTTTTGTGTGGCTTCATTCTCCCTCATTCAGGCTTGCCCCTCCTGTCTTAGGTTTTACCTCTGCTGTGCCACTGACCTGGTGTTCACTGGTTCTGGGGCTTGCTCCCCTGTCCCAGAGCACAACAGAGTTCAAGCTGCCTGCTGGAACCAGCAACTACGCAGTTTCCAGCTCTGCTCCCCCCCTCCTCCCCCCCAAGTGACAGCACACAGGAAATCCTTTGAAAGAGATTCCCATTTGGCTCTGTTGGTTCCTTTGCTTTTCTCAGCTGGGTTGGCATCTTACTGGGCCCCGCAGCAGGCAGCCAGTGGCCCCTCCCCCACCCTCTGCAAAGACAAAGAGCTGGGAGCTTCATGCGCAGCAATCCTGCAGCTTTGCTAGGCAGGAGAAGGCTGCAGCTTTGTTTCGCTTGCCTGCTTCAGTTCCCAGCCCTGCCGTAAGTAGTTCCCTGGCTCGTGGCACATGCCCTCGTTGGCCCAGAGTCCAGCACAGAGTGAGCCCTGGCTCTGCTTTGGCTTCCCTGAAACCCAGCGGGACAGAAACAGATTCCCTCCGTTCCCTCTCATCAGCAGGCAGAGTCTTGTACTTCCCACAGTGACTCCGTGGCTATGCTCAGCTTTCATACCAAAAGCTGTTCCACAGGTCTCAGGGTCCTCCTCCCTCACTTTGCACCAAATCTAAGCATTGTAAGGACAAAGTGACGCACACTGGGTGTTGTTCTTACAGCTGTTAATTGAGGCTATCTTCTGGTAAGCTGTTGTGCATATAGAAACCCAACAGTTCTCTTTGTTCTGTACTCACCAGTTAAAGGTGAAAAAGCGCCTTACGCATATATTACCAGGTGGCTAAGGATGTTGTATTAAAGGAATGTAAGGATCAAAGCTTATTAAGAGTGAGCACACTTCTACGTTGTAGGCTGAAAAGTCACATGCTGTATGAAGAAATGTGTAAGGCAGCAACTTGGTCATCTTGTCAGGCTTTTGCCAGATGCTGCAAACGAGGAGTGAAGACAACATCTGCAGAGGCCTCTGGTCCTGGGATGTTGTCTTTACAAATGGAAAGCAAAAGTTTTGCCTCTAAAACATTCACTCTGAGCTCAGCCAGGGAGTTTTGCTGCTGCCATTCCTGCATTGGGGGTTTGAGCCAGGATAATATCTGATGAGTTCTCTTTGACTGTTCAGGCTTGTCCTAATTCACCTTTACCCTTCTACATTTTGGGTCAGATCAGTAGAAGAGTTACACTGCTGTGTTCTGCAGATGGATTTAATTGGGGAAGTTAATAATGAAGTGGGCTTTCAGGTTTGGATGCCTTCTCACTGGGTTGTGTTCCTTAAGGTAGAGCCAGCCCCTGACATGGTGATTTACAGATCTCACCCTGCCACCTCAGTTGCACAGCATAGATTACACCCTGGGCTGCCCTCAGGATTCAGGGGGCCTGGGGCAAAGCAATTTCGGGGGCCCCTTCCATAAAAAAAAAGTTGCAATACTATAGAATACTATATTCTCGTGGGGGCCTCTGTGGGGCCTGGGGCAAATTGCCCCACTTGCCCCCCCCCTCTGGGCGGCCCTGATTACACCCAATGTAGGAATGGTGATACTCAGGGAAGAAGTTGTGCATAAAAGTATCCTATATAAATGGACTATGTTTATGGAACAGAGGTGGAAACTGCAAGTGATCTCACGAGATGAAGATGGCAAAATGTTGGTAAATGGGAGAGGCAGATAGCTCCCTGGTGAGGGGTGGATACTAAACTAATGTTGTTCTTAACATGACCAAAGTGGACAACATTACACTGATTGGGGTGGGAGGTGATTGTGGGGAGCAGGAAATGAAATTTCCTATAATCCAGTACATTAATTGAGTTTATCTGGCAGTTTTACTTGATGGTGGGGCTGGGGCAGCTGTTGCTCACACTATTCAGCACTACTTTGAGTAGTGTCCCTACGGGTGCTTCACTGTAGGTGTGCTTGCGTCCCTGCGCTGCAGAGTGGAGAACTTCAGTAGCAGTGTCTGTTAGGCCCGCACATGAACTGTCTCTCCTTGTGCTGTGTGGGCTAACTCCCCTCAGTGCCTTTTCAACTGCCCCAGCTAGAGACGGAGCTATTCGCAGTCCATTAAGACCATTACTTCTATTTACATTTCTATAGTTAGTTAGTCTCCTAGTTCTTAGTTGTAGTTGTAGTTTTTTCTCTTTTCTTATTTTTCACCTTTTAAAAATAAAATAATAAAAAAACCCTTTAGTTTCTTTTCCTGCTTCCTCCCCTCCCCCTCATTGGGGGACCCTTCCCCCAACGGGGTGTGCCCGGCTCACTGGGCTTCAAGAAGCGCCTCTCTTGCAAAGAGGCAGTCCCTATCGCAGACAAGCACTCCCAGTGCATTCACTGCCTCGGGGATGGCCACATCCAACAATAGTGTGGTCTTTGCCAGCAACTCAGGCTCTGGTCTTCTAAGTATAGAGAGCTCAGGCAGGTTATCTTCAAGGAGGCAGCTCTCCAACCCTCTCCAGACCTGCACCACAAGTCACCTGGCAGATGTGAGTCTTCCCCACAGTCCTTAACACTTAGACTGTAGGTCAAAGAAACAAGCTGCTGACCCTTCTCACAAATCATCAAAAAAGAGAGTGAGAAGTCCCCACAGTGAGCACCGAGATAGCTGTAAACGTTCTCTGGCAAACTCAGTATCCTCAGTACCGCCGGCACTGAGACCTTTTCAGTCCGATACCCATGGCTCATGGAAGACCTCAGTGGCAGGTACCATTGACAATCCTATGGACCCAATGGGCATGGACACTGAGTCAGTGGCACCAAGGGACTTAGCTAGGAGAATGGCCAGCACTCACGTGCACACCTCCTTTGGGGTATAAACCCAAAATAATATTGTCCTGTGCTGTATAGAAAGATCTGCACAGCGCAAGCTCATAAAAATGTGCCCTCTTCCCTCAATGTGGAGAGAGAGATGCATAGCTTTTTTTTCCTCCCTCTCCTCCCCCAGATATGAATTGCACAAACTGGGTTTTGAAATAAACAAGAAATAAGTTTATTAACTACAAAAGATAAATGTTAAGTGATTATAAAGGATAGAAAACAGAACAAAGCAGATTACTGAGCAAATAAAACAAAACATGCAAACTAAGCTTAATACACTCAAGAAACAGGTTACAAAATGTAATTTTTCACCCTAAATATTGTTTTAGTCAGGTTGTAGAGTTTCTGTAGCTTAGAGTTCCAGTTATTTCTCTTTACAGACTGGACCCCTGTCTCAGCCTGGACTCAGTCCCTGCCTTTCCCTTCAGGTGTTTTTAGCAATCTTCCTTCTTGGACAGGGAGGCAATGGAGAAGAGTCCTGATTGCCTTACTTCCCAGTCTTAAATAGAATTTACATAAGGCGGGAATCATTTGTTTCCACTGGAAAAATACCAGCAGTGTCCATACCAGGTGACATTATCAGATGACCCTGCAATGTCAAAGCAACACCCCAGGAAGCTCCTCAGGAAGGTGGGAGATTAGTATCTTCAAAGATCTATTGTCCTTAAATGGCTCATTCAGGCTGATTGCTTACTATCTGGTGGACATTCCCCCACATACACACACAGTGGTAATTGTTACATAGTCAATATTCCTAACTTCAGATACAGAAATGATACATGCATACAAATTGGATAAACACATTCAGTAGATCATAACCTTTTCAGTGATGCCTCACATAACCCATCTTACATAAAACATATCTTAATTCTGCTATATTCATATCACAACAAATATTTCTATGAAGAATAAGGGTGTAATGTGACACCCACATGACCACAAGTGAAAGCTAGACCCAGTAGTACTTCACGATCTATTCGGACGGTGGGGACACTGACCACAGACTTGTTTGCCATTTATCTGTACAAGAAATGTCCATGTTACTGCTCCAGAGCAGGGATAGGACAACATTCCCTAGGTGATGCACTCCTCCTCCTCTGGAATGGGGACCTTCTTTATGCCTTGCCTCCTTTTTGAAGGTTCTGCTTTCAATAAAAAGAGACAGAGCACACGTCATTCGGATCACTCCTACTTGGCCGAGACACACCTGGTTCCCTTACCTGTCACAGTGTGTGACATGCCTGCCGATCCCTTTCCCAGTCACTCCGTACCTCCTCTCCCAGGATCTACATCCCAGCTTGGGCGTTCTCCGCCTCAAGGCATGGCTCCTTGGTTCAAACACCGAGAAAGCTCCTGTTTGAATGATGTGCAAGAGGTATTATTACACAGTAGAAAGTCCTAAACATGAGGTACTTAACTCCAAAAATGGTCCAGGTTTCGGATTTGGGGAGATTTGTTGTGAAGTATACCAACATCTGCAACTATTCCACACATCTTAGACTATGTTCTGGCCCTAAAAAGATCGGGGCTGTCTCTGAGTTCTCTCTGAGTCCATCTAGCAGCGATAAGAGCCTTCCACCATCCAGTAGAGGGGTACTCAGTGCTGTCACACCCAACCACCAAAGGATCCTCAAGGGTATAGTAAACCTCTTCCACAACCTCGACTTCCTACTCCCACATGGGACTTAATAAAAGGGCTGACTAGGCCTCCCTTCGAACCCATGGCCACCTGTTCGCTTACTACCTGTCAGTGACAACGGCCTTCTTGATAGCAATTACCTCGGCCAGGAGAATAGGAGAAATAGTGGCTCTGATGGCACATCCCCCCTTCATGGTATTCTTTCAGGACAAGGTTACGCTCAGGCTGCATCCAAAATTCATTCCTAAGGTAACCTCCCCGTTTTGCATGAACCAATTTTTTCATCTTTCAACCTTCTATCCCAAGCCTCACCAAGACAACGGGGAGGCTGAATTACTCACTCGAAATGGCAGGAGAGCCCTAGCCTTCTACCTGGGCAGGATGAAAGCTTTCAGAAAGTTCCCCAGGCTTTTCCTTTCCATTGCAGACAGATCCAAGGGCTCACCAGTATCAGCCCAAAGACTCTCCAAGTGGGTCTCGAACTGCATCAGACAATGTTACCAAGTTCGCAGTATGACCCCGCCAGATACTATTTGTACACACTCCACAAGGTCGATCTCCTCATCTGTTGCCTTTTTCAAGAATGTTCTTATCTCAGAGATCTGTAGAGGTGTGACATGGGCTGTGACCGGAGTCCTGGGGGGCCATGCTGAAGTTACTCAATTAAGGTGAACGGCAAAGAAAGGGGCAGGTAATCCCCAAAGCTGGTGGATAGTCCAATACTTAGATTTACCAGCACAAAACAGCTTCTATAATACCTCACTGGTTACCCAGAAGCCAACAACACAGTGGTATGATCGGCGGTGCCGATGGCGTCGAGACCTGCTATCACTGCGGCTGGACGAGGAGCGTCAACGCTTTCTGTCCCGGCGCCTGCGGCCCCTGTGGGCCGAGGAAGACTTTGGCGACTTGCTCCCAGGCGACCCCGACACGGAGTGGAGGTCTGTCGCGGGCTACGGGAAGTCCCCGCGGATCGAGCAGGGACCTCGACCTCCGACCTGGCTGGTGAGGGCTGGTGGGCGCCCAACGGCGGCTTCCCTCGGGACCGGGACCCCAACTCAGGCAGCCCGCTCAGTACCGGCATGACGAGGATGTCGCGCGCTGCCTGAGCTGCCTCTGGCGACGACGGAATCCTCATCGTCGGGGAGGCGGACGGGGCCGGACTACTCCGCTCCGCGCGAGTCAGAGGTCTGGGTCCCGAGGGGGATCGTAGGCTGCCCAACTCGGGTCCGGCCTCACCCCTGTCCTTGTCTCGGCGCCACTGGGTCTTGCCCTGTTTTTTGGCAGGGGAGCGGTGCCGACTGGTGGATGGGCCTTCGCCCGGTGCCCGGCGCCGGGTCGGGTCGGGTTGGCGCGCCGGGGCCGGAGCCGATTCCATAAGCAGGGCCCGGAGTCGGATCTCACATTCGCGCTTAGTCCAGGGCTTGAAGGGCTTACAGATTTTACAGTGCTCACTTATGTGCGCCTCGCCCAGACAGCGAAGACACTCGGAGTGTGGATCGCTTCTGGGCATGGAATTGCGACAGGAGTTACATGACTTCAAGCTTGGGGCTCGGGGCATGCCCCGAGCCAGGCCACTAACTGTAGAAGCTACTAACTGTTGAAGATCTTACCACTAAGGAAAGACGCTGCAGCAATGCTGGAGCACAAGTTCCGACTACCTTCACTGGTGGCAAGAAGGAACTGAGGGTGGGGGGAGCACGCAGCCCCCTTTATGCGCGATATAGAGGCGCCACTCCAGGGGTCGCAGCGGGGCTCCCCCAGTATGGGTATTGCTAAGGGAAAAACTTACAGCACCGGTGCATGTGGCGAGCACGCACACCTACTGTGGAATACACCTGAGCAACACATCTCGAAGAAGAACGCCAGTTATGGAACAGGGAACTGTCCTTTCCCTTAAAGCAACCCAGCCTCAAGCCTGCACCCAGACACCCAAGTCAAATATGATGAGGATTAATGAAAATCTTATTCATCATATAAAAAAGTTCTACCAATCCCAAAGGATCGGACACGTTACCTCCCAGGTTAATGAATATTTCAGATCTACCCAAATATACGCTTACAGCCAATTCTTATTAACTAAACTAAAATTTGTTAAAAAAGAAAAGAATGAGTATTGGTTAAAAGATCAATATACATACAGACATGAGTACAGTTCTGAGATCAGATTCATAGTATAGATGGTGAGTTTTGTATTTGCAAAGAGTTCTTTCAGAATTAGTCCATAGGTTATAGTCCAATGTTCATATTCAGCGTGATCCAGATTAGGGCTGGAGAGCCCAGCCTTATGGCTTAAACTTCCCCTTCATGAAGCATCAAGCACATCTGAGATAAAAAGGATCAGGACCCAAAGGGTTTTTATACAGGTTCCGGGTCTTCTTTGACAGCTCGGAGTCCTTAGGCGAACAATAGGCAATTATGGGGCCTCTGAAGTAGACCTATTTCCTAAGCATCACTGGTAATTAGCTACACGGATTATCATAAGGCAATTGCCCATTTTCCACCATTCTCAGGTGATTTGCTATACATTTCAAAGAGAGATGAATACAGTGATGTCACTATGTTTACAGTTCATTTAAATGTTAATATTTCCCTTAGATGTTAGCCATGTAAACAGTTCAAACAAGATATGAGTACACACATACATTTAGTATCACCTCTAATTTCTAACAATATAGGTTTGCATTTCAAAGTTCTAGCCTATCTACCATGGAATGGCCCTAATTGCCATTTACATACTTTTCTACATGTCTCTAAAGGTTGGCTCTGGATCATTTAGCCTGCGAGCTGCTTAACCCTTTCTGGCCATGCGTTACACTTTGTATAAGATTCGTTGCAATTATATAACAGTGGTAGCAACAATGATTTGCATTATTATACTCTAATCAGATAATGTCACATGGGTGTCAGTCCACACTTCTGCAGAACATTATGCGGTAACTGGGGACTCCTCCTCCAATGCCACCTTCAGCTCCATAGTACTGTCATCTGTAACTGACCCAACTCTGAAGTTCCAGCCCTCCAGAAAGGGTACTGCTTGGGAGTCACCTACAGTGGAACACCCATAGGGACACTACTTGAAGAAGAAGTAGTAGTTACTCACCTGTGCAGTAATGATAGTTCTTTGAGATGTATCCCCCTGAGGGTGCTCCATAACCCACCCTCCTCCCCTCTACTTCAGAGTTCTTGTCAATGACCACGGTAGAGAAGGAACTGAGGGGGGTTAGCCCACGCACACTGACTCGCCTCATGGCACAGCACGAGGAGAAACAGCACATGTCTGGGCCCAATAGACACTGCTACCAAAGTTCTCTGATCAGCAGTGCAGGGACGTAAGCACACCCACAGTGGAGCACCAGTAGGGACACACATCTCAAAGAATCATTGTTACTGCACAAAGTGAGTAACTTCTTCTTTTACGTTTATGGTGAACATACAGTTTAACAGGAAATTTCTTGCCTTACGTGTAGGGGTATCGTTGTGTTGGGCTGTTCCACCCCAAAGACGACTGTATGTGCTGCATAAAAGCTAGAAATTTAAAGGGTGCTGTATTGGTCCCCAAGCCAGAGCAGGACTGTGGAGAGTTCCTGAGGAATGCTGTAACTCACTAACACCAATGGTAGTTGGGGTGCTCCGTGTTTAGTCACATGCTAAAGTGGTTATGGGAATGGAAAGCATTCCATAGAAACAGACGCTGCTTAATGGTCTAGCATTGACATCTGACTAAAGTTGTTTCTATGAGCTACATTCACAGTGCTATGTGCTTTCAAGGCACTGTCCACAACTAATCTGCACACCGAGTGAGAAGGATAATTTAGTGGATGAAATTTAGGAGACCTGGGTTCAGTTACTGGTGCAGCCACAGACTCCCTTTTTGTCCTTGGGCAAGTCATTTAGTCTCTCTGCCCCACAGGTTCCCATCTGTGAAATAGGGACGATGCTTCCCTTCCTCACAAGGGAGCTGTGGAGATCACACCCATTAATGGCTGGGAAGTGCGCAGGGATTGTGGTGAGAAGGGCCATATATAGACATAAAGCAGGGGTGGCCAACCTGAGCCTGAGAAGGAGCCCGAATTTACCAATGTACATTGCCAAAGAGCCACAGTAATACGTCAGCAGCCCCTCATCAGCTCCTCCCCCGCTCCCAGCGCCTCCCACCTGGCAGCCGATCAGCACCTCCCCCTCCCTCCCCGTGCCTCTGAGATGGACAGGGGAGGAGCAAGGGTGCAGCAGGCTCAGGGGAGGGGGCAGGAAGGGCCGGGGGCCTTGGGGTAAGGGGTGGAGTGGGGGCAAGGCCTGGAGTTGAGCAGTGGAAAGTTGGCACCTGTAGCTCCAGCCCCAGAGTCAGCACGTATGCAAGGAGCCGCATATTAACTTCTGAAGAGCCGCATGCGGCTCCAGAGACACGGATTGGCCACCCCTGACATAAAGAAACAGACACACATCCTGTGAATGAGGGAGGTATCTGTGTGCATGCATGTGCACACTGTTGCTCACAGCAGAGTTTTATAGTCTTGTTACAGTAGCACCTCAGAGTTACGAACACCAGAGTTACAAACTGACCAGTCAACCACACACCTCCTTTGGAACCGGAAGTACACAGTCAGGGAACAGCTGAGACAGAAAATAAAAGCAAACACAGTACAATGCTGTGTTAAACATAAACTACTAAAAATGTAATGGGAAAGTTTAAAAAAAAAAAATAAAAGGTTTGACAAGGTAAGGAAACTTTGTGCTGGTTTCATTTAAATCAAGATGGTTAAAAGCAGCATTTTTCTTCTGCATAATAAAGTTTCAAAGCTGTATTAAGTTAATGTTCAGTTGTCAACTATTGAAAGAACAACCGTAATGTTTTGTTGAGAATGATGAAGATTTCAGAGTTACGAACTACCTCCATTCCCGAGGTGTTTGTAGCTCTGAGGTTCTAATGTAATGTTGAAAGCTGGCCAGTGGGAGCCCGGAGCTAACAAGGATAATAAGACTCTCTCTTTGAATCTTCAGGAAAGACACAGATGAAGCAGACCTGGTCCTAGCAAAGGAAGCCAATGTGAAATGCCCGCAGATTGTGATAGCGTTTTATGAGGAGAGACTGACCTGGCACGCGTATCCAGAGGACACGGAAAACAAAGAGAGAGAAGCAGCGAAAAGCTAAAGTGCCGTCCTGGGCCATCCTTAGCTGTACATACACATCCCCCCGACCCGACCACATCCATTGAAATGTGCTTATTACTGTGCTCCCAGGAGAAACCTTGTTATTGGTTCAGTCATAACATAAATGGTTTGCTTCATGTTCAGCTTCATCTCTAGTGAAACCCACAAGATTTATGTGCTGTGTGTCCTCCTCTCTCCTCCCCCCCCCCGCCCTCCAGAAAACGGTTTTGACTTGTCACATCCTCTTAGAGCCTCCAGGGGTTTATAGAGTTGTTAGTTCCCTTTGGTTCGGTCCCTTTTTGCCGCTTTAAATGCCGAGAGTGGCAGCGATGCCCTTTCTAAACAGAATTAAGTGGTGTTCCCCTGTCCAGGTACACAAATGGCTGTTGGCTGGGAAAGCGAGAGGAGCTGTCTGCATTTGGGAAGTCCCTCCTGCTAGTGCTACACAGGGCAACATCCTGAGATGGTCAATGTGGCCTTGGTATGCTGGGCCTGTGTGTTGTTACATAACTGGTAACGTCCTGTTGGGACTGTGCATCTGGACTCCGTCTCGGGGGATACCCATTGTCCTGGGTTGTGATGCCTTCCAGTCTGTCTCGTGCCTAGGATGGTTTCCAGGCGAGCTGTGTTCTCTTTGCAAGCCCAGCCTGCATTAGTATTGGTTCCCAGATGCAGAGCGAGCCCCCTTTCTCTAGGAGGAGTCTAATGTGTGAGAGGTGGGGAAAGCAGAGCCTTCTTAACTTTAAATGTGATTGTTTATCCCCTGTCAGGCGCAGGTGGAGACCTGCCACTGCTTCTGTATGATCTTATGCAGTATGTATGTATACATTTGTTTCTCATTTGGGCTGTGTATTTCCGTAGGTGTGAGTGTATCAGGTGGTCTTGCTTTGTGCCAAGGCGCCTGATCCATTTCAGTCATTGGCTGTTGCTTCAAAGGCCACAAGCATTGTGTTACCAAAGTGGCTTTCCGCTTGAGGGCCTCTCCTCCCCTCCCTCATGAGCTCTGTCTTGGAAACGTGGACAGCTGATCTGGTCTGGTGTGCACAGCACTTCTCCCTGGAACATATGCCCCAGGCTCTAGGACCTGCCAGGGGAGCAGAGAGGGCACAGTAAGATGGAGCAGAACTGAGCCGCTACAGCATTAGGCACTGTTTTCAGGGTTCCTTTTCCTTTCCCTCCCTTATGGTGAGGCCGGAGTGGAGAACTGACCCAGGGCTGGTTGCAAGGTCTGCTCCTTAGCATCTCGGCACAGCCCCCTTTTGCTTTCCAGCATCATGTACACTCTTCATGCTGATCCTATGTACTGTGTAGTTTAGCTGGACTTGGGCTCTCTTGCCTGTGGCGATCTCCTTGCCCGCAGGAACTGACGGATGTCTTAGGCTCCCCCCTACTAATGGTGCAAACAGAGTCCTCCTTGATGACTAGAAGTAATAAAATTACAGTATTGTGGTATTGACACTGGTTTCTGGTTGACTCGTTCCCCGTGCAAAGCTCCTGTGAGAATGAGAGCTAGTTGGTTTTGTGGCCTTCACTGTGGCTTGGAAAGGCTTATTGCGTAAAGTGGAGACCTGCAAGTGGATGAATTGGAAAGGGGTTGTGGGTTTATTCTCTGGAATGAAAATATCATTGTTGCATCCTGACTTCCCTCAATCCAAAGGCCTGGTCCTGTTCTTGTTTATCTCCCCTCATTCCCACCCCTTTGCTACCCTGATTCTCTCCCTTTATAGTGAGCTTGGAAATCTTGAATGGCATTGGGAGATATCTGCAGACTGGGTGCAGAGGGAGTTTTATCAGTGGTGACTCCCTTCTTGGCCCTTGGACTCTGGTTAATTTTGTGCCGTGGGCACAGAGAGTTTTGCTTGTTCTGATTTTCTAGAGCACGTGACGCAGTTTGTTCTCAGCCTCTTTGTCTGTCTGTCTCCTGGGCACAAGCTCGCTCAGTATAACGTTCGCACTGTTGAATGAATTCTGCTTGCAAGCGGCTCAGATGCTGTGGGGGAAATCCAGGCACCCTAGAAATCAATGGCAGAGCTCTCATTGACTTCCGTGGGACCCAGATTTCACTCTGTCTCTCTAACATGACTTCTAGTTGAGCGCATATCACTAAGTGGTATTCCCGCTTCACTGACGCACCTGCCATCGTCTCCCCTGCCTTTTGGAGGTGTGTGCTGGCAAAGGGTTAGCACGGCCATTGCTTCGAGCGGCATACTCAATACATCATTACTTTGAAAGTTCCCATTGGCAGGGTCAGTATTTCTAGTTGCATCATCCTGGCTGGTGTTGAGAGTGATCTGAAATAAAAAAAATCTGCTTTCTGAGCCGCGCTGCCAAGCAGGCCAGCGAAGCTGCAGCTGCCAGCACACTGAGCAGAAATGCTGATGTGCCTAATGCTGCACACTTCTTAGATACGCTGGAACGTGCTCCTGGCCCTGGGACCCTTCCAAGGCTTCTGCTTAGCAGCATTCCTGGCATCTCGGTAGCTGACTTTGCTCATTATTAAGCGCCTGTGGTCTTACAGCCAATAACTGGGGGTCTTGCACAGGTATCTCTGGCACCAGCACAATCCACAGAGATTGAGTGTGTTTTTATGGGGTTATGACACTTTTGAATTTGGTTTGAGTGACCTTGGGCTAGTCAGAGCGAGCTCCCAGAGCCAGGGCATGTGGTGATGATGCTTTGGGAGGAGTTTGGGAAATCCCTGTCATTCTGACTTGGTTAGGATTTGCGTAGGTTTAGGGCTAAGCCTGACGCATCTGTTTTTGGATCTGAGCTGGGTAGCATGGGTTCATTGCGGTGTAGCATGTTATTAAACGTTGATGCTAGTACGTGAATTGCTCTAGTTGGTAGCTGGTACAATAGGTAATGGCAGCAGCTGGCTACCTTCCAACTGCATTAGTTTAGGGGCTTCCCCACCTGTAATGTGGGGGGAGGTGGGGATATTGAAGGGAGCTTTTACAGGGCTGGATGCAAGAGCATAGCCTGGCTGCAGTCTGTACCACTTGGTGCGCTGATTTCGGGTATTGGCTCAGGTATAGAAAAGGCTGCTGGCATGTCAACCTGTGGCTGCCGCTTCTTCTCTGGCCCCCATTCCCCCAGCATCACAAGCTCCTTGTTCTTCCCCTTCCTCTCCAGCCGGCAGACTTGCTGCTGTTGCTTTATCCCTACCTCTGCATGGATTTCTTTTCTCTGAAGGCAGTCAGCCAGCCTGCCCGTGATTCACTGGAGTCTTGATTTTTGCCAACTCTGTTCTCCTCTTCCTCTCCCCACAGCCACCAGCCTCCTACAGACCTCTGCACCAAACTCAGAGGGAGCAAGGCAGCTGCTCTACAGCAGCTCAGTTGGGTACACGAACCCCTGGGGTACGCAGAGGTCTCCCAGGGGGTAAGTCAACTAGATATTTGCCTGGTTTTACAACAGGCTACATAAAAAGCACTAGCGAAGTCAGTACGAACTAAAATTTCATACAGACAATGACTTGTTTATACTGCTCTATATACTACATCCGTGTTTCTCAACCTGGGCATGACAGGATGGGTTATGGGGGATTGCAAGTGCAGGGCCGGCATTAGGGGGGTGGCAAGCAGGAGAGCTGCGAAACAGACATGCTGAAGCCAAAGCATGAGTCCCGCCGCCTGGGGCTGAAAGCAGACCTTTGAAAGGGGTACAGTAGTCTGGAAAGGTTGAGAACCACTGCAGGAGTTGCAAGTTAAGATGGCTTAATGCTCTTTCTGTGCCTCACTGTCTGCTGCAGATGGGAGTGGATAAGTGCGTGGGAGTGGATGAGCCTGCTGGCGATCTCTGAGCCAGTGTGAAATGCTATAGAACACGGAGCTTGATCTCAGCACACAGAGGACAGGCACTGTTAGCAGGAGACAGGCCCCTTCCTCCCGCACAGACCCATCACTCTTTGCTTTCTGGAAGCAAATCTTAGTGAAATCCACCATTCATTATGTTGTGATCTAAGTTCCCTCTAAGCTACTTGGCTGCACAGCAGCCTATTAAGCGCCATGCAGGCGCTCAGGTCTGTGGTGAGGAGAGATGCCTCTCCCCCAGCCCTGGACCTGCTGCGGCACCCCAGCCCGGCCCAGCCCAGATAGTACCGGGTTTATAATGGTGCCTGACCCACGCTTAGTAGGGGCCTTACTGGCCAGCTGGCCCAGGACTTCTCTCTCCATCCCCGCCCTCTGTCACCGGCAGGCAGCAGCCGTCAGCTGCTTGCCAGTGACGGGGCGAGAGGCGGAAAGGAGCCCACAGCCACTGCCGCTCCTCTGGGCCGCCAGTGAGGGATGGGGAGCCCGAATCGGCAGACCATCAATGGCTGCCCAGACTGTGGACAGACCTGTCGTGGACAGGGAAGAGCCAACCCTCCCCTAGCCCCAACCCAGCCCCCCCGACCTGCCGCGGACAGGGAAGAGGTGCCTATCCCGTGGCTCCAGCACTGGAGCTGCTGTGGTGGGGAAAGGTGCCTCTTCCCCTCAGCCCAAGTGCGGTTGCAGGGAGAGAGATCTGGGGGGAGTTCTCTCTCCCTTCATAGCCCTGAGGCAGCCTGCACCCCAAACCCCTCTTACTGAGCCCCCACTCCTCGCCCCAGCCCCCTCCTGAACCCCAAACCCTTCATCTCTGGCCCGCACCCCCAGCCAGAGACCTCACACTCAGCCCCAGCCCTGAGCTCCCTCCCACACTCCGAAGCCCTCGGCCCCACCCCCCCCACACGAATTTTGTTATATGCGCCAATATGGTGCAACATCACCTCCATATTGGTGCACATAACAAAATTCATTCCGCACGTGTGGGAAAAATTAGAGGGAACACTGGTTGTGACCAGAGCTCGTTGCAAATACTCCCCGTGAGCCGGTTGGACTCCCATTTTAGCTGCGCTGCATGTTCTAATAGAAGCAGCAACTCGGCTCTGGATAAAAAGCCTGATATGAATCAGATTAGAGCCACATGGCTCAGCAGGCTTGGTACGTCAGGGCTCTGTTTCAGCAGTCAGTCTTGAGGGTAGGTCTTATGTCTTCTCCCTTCCAGCCTGAATTATGCCCCTATGGGAGATGCAAAATGGTTCTTAAGTTGCTTCAGCATTCCAAGTGGCTTCTAGACAGAGTAATAGATTGTGTTGGTTGCAGCCTCAGGCAGTGTAGTATGTGGTGTCATCTCCTGCCAGGGCTGCCTGCAAGCTCATGTGCCAGACAGATCTCTGCCTGTCGAGTCTGCCCCAGATACCTCCCCAGTCGCTTGCTCTTGAATGCTCGGTCTTGCTGCTTTTCCTGTTGCAGAGAGGAAGTTTCTCTGCTGCTGGCCAGCCACCTTTCCTTCTGGCTAGGTTTTGTTTTGCCGATTTCCGGTATCGAAAAGTAGATGCAGCAGCTGGCATGGGAGTAAGGGGGTGGGTAAAGAAGTGATGTCAAACCCCTTAGCAAACTGTGAGTAGGTCGGGGGGATTTTTACAGTGTTTGTGGCTGAAACCAAATACACCTCTATCTCGATATAACGTGACCCGATGTAACGTAAATTCGGATATAACGTGGTAAAGCAGCGCCACTGGGGGGCGGGGCTGTGCACTCCGGTGGATCAAAGCAAGTTCGATATAAGTTTCACCTATAACGCGGTAAGATTTTTTTGGCTCCCGAGGACCGCGTTATATTGAGGTAGAGGTGTACTTAATGCTAGACTGAAAAGTTCTCCAGGCATTGCTTATTTTGCGTCCCAGTCTACATGTCTAGTTGTGAGCATTACTCTGGTCCTAATCCTCTTCTCACAGGGCTTTCGGGGCAGGAGGTTAAGTGCCAGACTCGGTTCCTGGAATGGCATGTACCATCTGAAAGAGGAGACATTTTCCTTGCGGCATCTATCGGGAACCAAAACCCAACCCTTTTCCTTGGCCCCATTGATCACAAACAGCCCTCTCAAATTGTGTCCCTCACTCAAGAAAACAGCTTAGTGTCTGTGAGCAAGCTGCCCGTAACAGACTAACCGCATTAAACTAGTGCGAAAGGCTGTGTGGATGCACTTATTAGCTTGTTAAGAATTGGCTAAAGCCAACCTGAGATAATTGTCCACCCAAGTGTTCACACTGGTTCTGCAAAATCAGTTCACATAGA